TAGTGTCGCTGATCAAGATCAGCTGATGAGTGAGTTGGCTTTCCAATGTAAGTTGCCTAGTGTGAATGTGAACAAAGCAGAAACTAATTACTTTGCGTTGTTGACCCCGTTGTTGATATGTGTAGAATCTAAGAATATCAAGGTCATTGGCAAGGTGGACACCGGGTCCCAAATTAGTTGTATTAGTTTGAAGTTTCTAATAAATGTGCTTAAGATCAAAAAAGTGAGAAAAGTTGATGGGTACCTGAAATTTTTATCCAAGTCTGTGAAGCGAGTGGCAATGACATTTCCATTGAAATTTAAATATGCTAATGGCATTGTATTTGAACATGCATTAGAAGTGGTTCCGTTTGAGCAAGGGTTGGACTTTGATGTCCTGTTGGGAGTGGATGTGTTGCCAAAGATGAATATTGGGCTTACTGGTGTGGCGTTTCGCATCGACAGTGAGCATCAGCATTCAGATGCTACAGAACATAATGAAAGAATGTTTGAGAATATCAATTTGGACTTTGAGGGCAAACATTTAGAGGCGGATAACGCACCTGCGGGTACTGAGGAAGAGCGTCAGGAGTTTAAGACATATATTAGCGAATCCTTAAAGAGAAATGAAGAGATACTTATCGAGTCGTGTTGTCCATTGCCAGAAGCTATAGTGAAATTACCTACAAAAGAAGGAGCGACGGCGCATCGTCGTCCCTATCCGATTGCTGAGTCGTTGAAGCCTGTAGTAGAGAGACAAATTCAAAAGTGGTTGGATACCAAGACGATCGGACGTTCGAGAATCAATTCGTCCTTTAATAGCCCTTTGCTGGTAGTACCAAAGCGTGACAAGTTGGGAAATGTAGTGGATCATCGTGTGTGTCTGGATGTGCGTTTGTTGAATAGTATTTTGCCACCTCCCTACAATTTCCCAATTCCTTTAGTAAAAGACATCTTTGAGAACTTGAGTGGTATGAAGTATTTTGGGACCACGGATTTGAAGGATGCTTACCACAGATTTCCCATTGAAAAAGAGAGCCAATTTAAATGTAGCTTTAGTTTTAACGGCCAAGGATATTATTTCTTGAAGGCTTGTTTTGGATTATGCCAGCTGCCAAGCCAGTATCAATTTACACTATCTACGTTGCTAGCAGGATTGCAACAAGTGCGTGACGAGTCAGGACGAGTGGTATCTACTACGCAGAATTTTCTAGACGATATCATTATCGCTGGCGTGGATTTTGAGCATTACAAGGTAGCCGTAAAAACGGTGATTGATCGGCTTACAGAGGCAAAATTGATTTTACAGCCGAGCAAGTGCCATTTTATGCAGAGAAAGGTGCGGTTGTTAGGCTTTGTGGTCGATGAAAAGGGTATCCGAGTAGACAAATCCAAATGTACAAATGTGGCGAATTGGCCTGTACCCTCAACCAAGAAACAAGTGCAGCAGTTTATGGGATTAGTGAATTATTTGCGTTCACATATTCCAATGATCTATAGAGTGGCGGCTCCGATCACGGACCTCATTAAAGACAACAAGAATGTGATGAAGCACTGGACGAATCAACATACAGAGTGTTTTGAGGCAATTAAGAAGATATTGCAAGCGGATTTGTTGATCAATTACCCAGATTTCGACAAGGAATTTATTATTGCGTGTGATGCCAGTTTGTATGGAGTAGCGGCTGTGATTTACCAAGAAGATGACAAGGGGCGTCATAAGTATGTGGGTTTTATTTCAAGCACACTGAGTCCAGCGCAGCGTCGTTGGTCCACAACGAAGCGAGAATTGTATGCGATTGTGTTGGCGTTGCGGAAGTTTCAAACGTACATTTATGGGCGTGCGTTCCGGGTACTGACAGATCATCGAGCATTAGTGTATTTGCATTCTCAGAAAGTGGTAAACCCTATGATGGCTGGATGGATTGAGACTATCCTAGATTTTACATTTGAAGTCGTGCATTTACCAGGAGCAATGAACATTTTTCCGGATTTATTGAGCAGACTATATCCACCTGTGGAGAATGAGAGTACGCAGTTAATAGTGGAGGAAAGTGAAGAGCGTAGTCGGGAGAGACATGAGCAAAATCGCAAGAATCGTGGTGCAAAAAATATGATTAAGAAGAAGCGGTATAGCAAAGATCAAGCAGTAAATATCTTTGCTACACAAGTGATTGAAAATGCGAAGGAAGATCTTGATTACATGACACCTCCTGAGGAAGAGCGAGATGAGATTTTACAAGAGATTCACATGTTTGGGCATTATGGCGCACAGGCGATTGTGAGAGAATTGCACTCGCAAGGGTTGCATTGGGCTAATGTGTATGAAGATGCTAAGAGGTTGGTCAGTAGCTGTCCAGAATGTCAGAAGCACAATATTGCAAAGAGAGGGTGGCATCCGCTCAAGAATGTAGTTTCGCTTCAGCCGATGTCGCATGTGTCAGTGGATTTGGGTGGCCCAATGACGATGACCTTTGATGGATATGTGTATATAATGGTTGTCACAGATCTGTGTACCAAGTATGTGATTTTGCGCCCATTAAAGTCGAAGGAAGCAACGAGCATTGCTAGAGAATTGATTAAGGTGTTTGGGGATTACTCATTTCCTATTATTATGCAGAGCGATCATGGTGGGGAATTCGAGAATCACTTGCTTCAGGCAATCAGTGAGAACCTAGGTTTGCAGCGCAACTATTCTACCCCATACGCAGCCAGAGGTAATGGGAGTGCGGAGGCGAGTGTGAAAATTGTGATGAATACGCTGAGGAAAATGTGTAACTCTAATGCGCGAGAATGGAGCGATTACCTTCCAATTGTGCAGCTTTGTTGTAATCGTTACATCAAGAGTAAATCGATGACTTCGCCGTTCTCGCTGATGTTTGCCAGGCGAGTTACACTGCCAGAGGATTATGCCAACAAAGACAAATACCCGATCCCTAAGGATATCATGTCAGTAAAAGAGCTTGAAGAGCGTATTGACTACATGCACAAGGTGGTATTTCCAGCGATCAATGAACGAGAGGCCAAGATGAATGCGATTATGCAGAAGAGGTTTAATGACAAGCATATGCTCGTGGACATTCCAGTGGGTGCTCATGTGATGGTAAAGATACGTCAACGACCAAGCAAGTTGAGTCCCATTTATGATGGTCCATATACGGTCATTCGTAGAAATCAAGGCGGGTCATACGAGTTGAAGGATGAAATGAATGAGATTCTTCATCGCAACTATGTACCATCCGAGCTAAAGGTGGTGAACATAGATGAAAAGGCCATTGATGATGAGTATTTCGAAATTGAGGCGATTCGAGATCATAGGGGCAAAGCAGCGAATCGTGAGTATCTCATCAAATGGAAGGGCTATGGTGAACGCATGTGTTCGTGGATAACTGCAGAAGATGTATCGGATCCCCATATTTTGCAAAGATATTGGCAAAAGCATGTGCAGCTGCAGAAGCAAGAAGAAGGGCGCATCCGAGAGCGAGTGGCTCAAATGCCGAGTAAGCAACAGAGGAAACGTGCTGCCACTGGGGAAGCAGATCAGGCGGGGGCTCCTCAATCCCCAGCGAAGCGGCGTCGGGCCACTTATGTTAGGAAGAAGACAGGATAAGTGGGAAGGTGAGCGACAGTGGGGACGAGGTAAGAGTGGTGATCGAGAGGGTGTTGTCATGTGTTGTGGTAGCAGTGTACCTTTTTACCTGATCATTGTTTTTTTTTTCCCATTGGGTTTTACATTGATTGGGATGTTTTAATGGCCATTGTTCCGAATTCATGATAACACATAGGAAGTATTTCAACGAGCCAAGCTTGTGTGATCTATCTCCTGTGGTGTAGTGTTTATCGAATCGACAATTCTTGCAGTATTATCGATTCTGGTGGGGACGAATGTTGAGGATATAGATCATCTCTGAGAGGCAAATGTATTAGGCGTCGTATATTACATAAGAGGATCTGAGAATGAGCTGAGATGCATAGTAGAAGTGAGAGGTCTTTATTCAAGCAGCACGAAGGAACATGAGTGGTGCCATCAAATGGCTAATCTATATCCTGGTTCCTAGAGAGTGGTAGCCTATGGCCTTTCGTCCCTGGAAGTGGGTTTCAATTCCGACAAATGTTCTTCCGTCAAAGCTATTAGGAAGAACATTCTATCCTGGATCATCTTTGTTGTTTATCCTTGACTGGCGGTTCATGAGTTCTGATGCAGCACATCCTCGTTACTGGTTCAAGGCTTATACAATTATCCCGCATTCAAGATCAAGGTCCTATTGCTGCGGCACTGTCAAATAACTATAAATACCTTTGATATCTACACTAGTTTTGATCCCTATTCAATCTTGGAATAACATAATAAATATATTCAGTTCTAATTGTATTTACTCTGTCTATATTTCGTTATTCTAAACACCCACTGCACAAATTCATATTAAATTACCGCAATTAAGGCTGCCGCGGCAGAAGGCTGAGGCCAATTCTAATGGTCGTGACGTCGGATACGGCGTTCTTTCATTATTCCATACCACCTTTTTTTTTCCCTTTTTGCAAAACGCGTTTAATATCAAACCATGGTGGTTTTGGAAACTCTTTGATTGATAATAACACTCTATCTTCTAATAACACTGTCGTGCACTGATAGAAGTACTTTATACTGCTTCTTTAAAGTGGAATATATTAGGTACCATTCGATATCGAGCACTGAAAGGCGTAGAATTAACACTAACTGAATTTGTTTATTAGGTCTTGATGATTCTTTTTGTTTGTTATATGTAGGTGCTATTGCCAGTACTTCTCGGCTATCTTTGCTGTCTGCTTCTTTGATGTATCATGTCTGGTGGTTGCTTCTTTAGCCTTTGTCCGGTCTCTGGTGTCGTTCATTCTTTGGTTTTTCCATGGTGCTGGTATTGCTGCTGCTGCTAATCTGGCCTTTCCTGGTCTACTGTTGTATTTGCTGCATGCTCGTTCTCTGGTCTATCTCTGGTGGTAAGTGGTAAGTAACTTCTTTGGTCTTTGCCTGCTCTCTGCTAATGGCGTTCGTTCTTCATTTTGTCTATGGTGCCGGTGTTGCTGGTGTTGCTGCTGCTAATCTGGTCTTTTCTGATCTATCTGTGGTGGTGACAAGTGGTAAGTAACTTCTTTGGTCTTTGCCTGCTCACTGCTGATGTCGTTTGTTCTTTAGTTTTTCTATGGTGCCGGTGTTGCTGGTGTTGCTGCTGCTAATCTGGTCTTTTCTAGTCTACTGTATTTGGTGCATGCTCGTTCTCTGGTGTCGCTCATTCTTTGGTTCTTCTATGGCGCTGGTGTTACTGCTACTGTAGCTAATATGGTCTTTCCCAGTCTACTGTATTTGGTGCATGCTCGTTCTTTGGTCTATCTCTGGTAATTGCCTATACTTTTCTGGTTTATCTATGGCAGTGGTAAGTGGTAAGTGAAGTGAACTAGACTAGATTCCCATCATAAACAAAACCCAAAATAAATGTCATCTCAATCAAACCATGCTACCATCAGCAGATAGGCATGCATAATAATAGTATTAGCATGATGATAGCAAGGGTTAAATGCTCTAAAATAAGAGATGACAGATACTAAAGTAAATGTCAAGGGTATTGTAATGTGTTGTAACATAAATATACCTAAAAAGGATACAGGCTCAACAATAAAGAGCTATTCTTTACGCATGATTCAAAAACCATATATTGAAATACCGTTCTTGATCCATCAGATCAACAACTAAATGACCCAACAAAAATATATAAAGTAATGGAATCACTGGCAACTACTAAACTGCTGCCAGATAAGAGATATAAACCAAATAATATAAATAGAGACGTAGAATATACATTTTATTGCACATTATCCTAATTTCAAATAAAGAAGGATTTTAACAGTATTCTACCTGCTTTTTTAACCCCCTTTTTACTGCATTTTTTACTGTTACAATCAATCATTGATTTCGTTATGTCGTCTGTTCTGTCTGGTAACTCCCCACTGTCATCTCGTGCTGGCTCACCTAATCCCATGGAAGAGGACGTCATCATGGAGGATGGCAACGCATCCTTACCTGCCTCAGTTTCTGCAACAACTGAACGCCTCAATGAGATGGATCTCGCGGCTGACCCATATACAAACCTCGTTGGCACCCCGTCTCCTGCGCCCACTATATCCACTAAAGGTGAAGAAATTGTCAACCCTGACGCTACCTCACCACAACCTGCTCCACCTGTTACGAAGCCGCCAACGTTGACTGAAGTTCTGAAGAAGGTTCTACTCCAAAAGGAAAATGCGCAAATAGCATACTTGAAAGCTCTGAGCCATTCCAATGTCAATGTTGATGAAGCCAACCTACTCCGTGAAAAAGTAAACAATTTAGACAAGCATGTCAAAACACTTACCGATGGTCTCAAGGCTGCTGCTGCTGCTACTGCTGCTGCCACCAAGGCTTCCGCTGCCGCTAACTCATCGTCCACTGGCTTAAAAATTTCCAAGAGAGATCTTCCCAAATTCCAACTGGAGGATAACAAAGCTAAACCATTTCCACATGAGGAGGCATATCGTTCTGTTGATCATTTCCTCTCAGAATTCGAAAAAATTGTGTATTCTTCTGGCCAAGACATCGAAACCGTATGGCGCAAGTACATTCCCCTCACGTTGTCGTATGAATTGGATGACTGGATGAAGACGGTGGTCATGAAGTGCAATGTCTGGCACGATGTCAAGTTGGTTTTCAGCAAGAAGTTTGGGACAGTAGTTTCAAGAATACATAAGCGTCGTGCTGTGATGAATATGGAAATTGGGTTCCATGAATCTGTCGATGAATATTCCAATCGTTTCTTCCGCACTGTTGGTGAGGCCGGCTATCATCGTGATGATTTGACAATTGGTGATGTCTTTTTGTTGTCTTTACCCGAGTCCTGGCAACTGAACATTTGTACTGTGCTCCTTTCAAATACCAAGAGACAAGCCTGGACTACCACGGAAATTCACAATGCTGCCGTAGATCTTCTTGGTGAAAAGACTCCCCAATCATTGATGCTGGGAAAGGACACCAAGCGCAAGTTTGGCTCTGTTGAACCCCCTATTGTTGCTACCTCTGGCTCATCTGCCACCACATCTTCTGCTTTGCCAAAGGCAAGAATGCTTGGTGATCGAAATCTGCCCAATAGGGCTACTACCAAGAACCCTAACCCTTGCCGCCATTGTGGTCGCCCCTGGAAGCATGGCCATACTTGTGAAGAATATCGAATGGCTAAACGCCAAAAGGGCGCTGGTGATGGAATCAACGTATTGTCCGTGTCTACTACTTCTGATACTAAAGAAGAAAATGAAACTGACGTGATGACCCAAGCTTTAAAAGAAGCATATGAAAACGAAATTTACAAATGTAAGTCTAAAAAGACAAACGAAAGCAAAAACAACATGAAACTAATCACGCCTCTTCTATTAAATGGTAGAAGAATCATCGGAAAAGTGGATCCCGGATCGGATATTAGTTTCATCAATAAAAGCATATTAAATAAATCGTTTTCAAACATACAAACGTATAAAACAAATGGCTTTCTCAATTTCTTGTCTGTAAATGATGATAACAAGAACAGTACGGTAACAAGAATTGGTAAAACTGAACCTATGGAAGTAACTTATACAAACAATATCAAATTCGCTCATGAATTCGAGGTCATTAAATTTAATGATGAGTTGTCTACTGAATTTGATGTGTTACTTGGTGTCGATATTCTACCCAAATTGAATATCTACCTGCAAGGAGTAGCATATAAATTTCCTGATTCAGAAAAGGACAAAGAAATGAAGCAGTTTGAGGATATAAATCACGATCAACAAAACAAATTCAATCCTGAAAAGGCTGATTATGGTACTCCAAGCGAAAGAAAAGAATTGCTAGCACAAATTCAATCAGCTTTGGACGAAAACAGGGCTATCCCAAGTGATGCAGCATGTACAATGCCAGAATCAGTTGTAAGAATCAAAATTTCGGATCCCAGTGATTGTTTCGTTCGACAATATCCATTAGCGGTAAATGCAAATGCAGAAATCAAATCACAGCTAGAAGAATGGCTAAAAGATGGCATTGTCGAGCGTACCAAACCTGATCCAACCTTTCACTCACCTTTATTGGCTGTACCTAAACGTGATCCACTCACCGGGAAAACTAGCAAGCTTCGAATCTGTTGCGATTTAAGAAGAATAAATGCTGCCATCTCGGATAAAGACTGTCATGAGAACTTTGCTGTACCAAAAATAGATGAAATCTTCAGCAAGGTTGTTGGTAACGCTAATGTCATAAGTGTTTTGGATCTAAAGCAAGCTTATTTTGCATTTCCTGTATCACCAGAATCAAGACGTTGCCTCATATTTAGTCATAACAATCTGACGTACCAATGGACCAGAGCCCCTTTTGGGTTAAAATTCCTTGTAAGCCAGTTTGTCTATACAATGAGCGTTTTATTCGATGGCATTGAACAAGAGTTGAAAGATGAAGTAAAGAAATTATACATAAAACAAAACAAAGACACCACTCAAATTGGCAATGAAATCCAAGCAGGAGTCTGCCACTACTTAGACGATATCGTGGTGTATGCTAGAAACGCAGAATTTAATGCACTAATGGTTAATTTAGTGGTAAGGAGATTGAGTAGAGTAAATCTACGTATCAATACAGATAAATGTTCATTCTTCCAAACAAGTGTCTATCTGCTTGGATTCATCATCAGTAAAGATACCACAAAAATTGATACAAAAAGACTATCAAACATTGAGTCATGGGAAATCCCAAAGACAACGAAACAGGTCCGTAGTCTTATGGGTATTATCAGCCATTTAAGAAACTACTGTCCAATGCTGTCTAAAATAGCTGCTCCTATTGACAGTCTACGAAATGAGAAAAAAATCACTGCAAAATGGACATCCTTACATACTGATAGACTCCAAAGAATCAAACAAATACTCATGTCTAGTCAAATCCTTTATGCACCTAATCCATCAAAGCCATACTTCATGCAAACTGATGCCAGCGTTCTGGGAATATCAGCCTGTCTATTCCAAAAGGATGAAATGGGACGCATTAAGCATATAGCCTTCGCAAGCAGATCTTTGAATAGTGCAGAACGAAATTGGTCTACTAACCGAAGAGAAACTGCAGCCATTGTGTTTGGTTTTGAAAAATACAAAGCTTTATTATGGGGGCACAATGATATAACTGTTTTATGTGATCATTTGGCCCTAACGTATCTTTTTACATCATCAACACTGAACAGCACTCTTCAAGGGTATCTGGAAATTTTAGGAGAATACAATTTCTCAGTAGCTCACATCAAAGGAATGGAAAACATTCTTGCTGACCGACTATCGAGATTGTACCCTGCCATAACCGAAGATGAAGAGCTAGCTGATGAATATGAACAACAGATTAAGAAACTACACAAGCTAATCCTGCTACGAAGAACTACCGGGAACAAAATCGTTAAACAAAAGGAAGTTCATTCCAAAGACCCCAATCTAAATGTCCTAGCGATAAAGCTCAGTAGCAAAGAGTTTAAACAAACCACAACTGATTATGTTTGTCCACCTCAACAAGATCGTAAAAAGATCATCCAAGATGCACATAAGGTAGGACATTTTGGGATTGCGGCTGTGGTTAAGCACATTCACACTTATCATGGTCTTCATTGGAACTCCATCTATAAGGACGCCAAAGAACTTTTGCTGTCTTGTAAGGAATGTCAATTGCATAATATTGCAAAGAAAGGATTCAACCCAGCAAGAAGTGTAGTGTCGTATGAACCATTTGATTTCATTAGCATGGATATGATTGGACCCTTACCAGTAACGGAAAAAGGCAATTGTTATATTCTTGTGGTTGTAGACATCTGTACCAAATACATCATTGCTCGTCCTACACCAAACAAACAAAGTGACACAATCGCTAACACCTTGGTCTCAATCTATGGAGATTATGGTTTAGCAGTGAATGTTACCTTATCTGATAATGGAAGAGAATTCAAATCTCAACTATCAGAATACATCTATAAATCATTAAACATTGGCATGATACAAAGCACTCCTTACTACGCACAGGGAAATGGTCATAGTGAAAATTCTGTGAAAACTGTAACTGCAACACTAAGGAAAATGTGTGGGAATGGCACCAGAAACTGGGATAACCGTTTGCCTATTGTACAACTAGCTATAAACATGAAAGTCCGTGATCGCACAGCAAGCACCCCTTTCAGCTTGATGTTTGCAAGACAAGTAACATTGGACCCTAAGAAAATTAATAGAAATAACAGGAAAGCATTGACACTGGAAGAGCTACAAAAAAGAGCTGAAACCATGAATGACATTGTCTTTCCTGCTATACAACAACGA